ACGAGGGAGGAGGATAACGACGAGGGAGGAGTGAAGACCACGACGCCGACGACGACGACGACGACGGCGACGAAATAGGAGGGACAACGACGAGACGCCGATGAAGACAACGAGGGAGGAAGGACGACCACGGCGACAACGACGACGGAAACGACGACGACGCCAAAGACGACGAGGAAAGACAGAAGAAGACGACGGCGACGGCGACGACGACGACGACGACGACGACGAGGGAGGAGGGAGGACGACGACGACGACGACGACGCAAGAGCGCGCGCGCAGAATGTTGTTGAAAACCCGTGTTGCGAAACCGTGTGCTTTTGTATGTTTTTTGGACGCACGATTTCGAAGTTCTTCCGAAACCGGAGGTTTTTGAAGGATTTCGGCATGCGCCCGCGACGACGCGCGCGTCTGCACTTCGTCCCATTTTTTGCAAAAGGATTCTCGCGACGGCACACGCGCAAGAGCGTTCGACAGATTTCGACACGCGCGCGCGCGAAGCCCGTTTGGTAGCATTTTGTGAAAATCTTTGAAAACCTATGGTTTTCCTAAGATTTCGCAAGAGCTCGCGCGTAAGTTTTTGTTTGAATCCGTGTTGCGAAACCATGTGTTTCTATATGTTTTTTGGAAATTCAATTTTGAAATCTCTCCGGAACCAAAGGTTTTTGAAGGATTTCGGCATGCGCGCGCCACGACGCGCGCGTGTGCACTTCGTCCCATTTTTGCAAGGGATTCGTGAAAAAGTGCTATGTTAGAACAAAACATGTCACCGCATAGTGTTTTTTACCAGGGAACCGCAGGGGGGGGGGGGGAACCCGGCTTGGCTGGGATGGTGTGAGTTCATATTTAGGATGGCCATGTGCTCAGAATCATCTGTAATTTACAGCACGCGCGGGGGAACCGATAAGTCCAGGGGGGGGTAGAATCTATTAGTCTTTTAGAAAGGAGAATATATGTCGATGTGATACAATGTCTGTGGTACATCCAACGTGGTGCAATGCATCCTGCCGAACCAGAAAGTGTCAATTTCATTGCTCGCGCAAACATCCCACCCAGCCACCCGCAACTTGGTTCGAAAGACGCATGAGTCGGCGATTGCGATGACTGTCTGGCGCAGGCTGACACATCGCTGCGGCCGTGCTAGCGCGCGCAGGCTCGCACGCAAGGCGGCCAACTATTCTGGCGTAGCCGACGCGGCCGCGGTGGCGCTAATGGCTGGGCACTTCCCAGCGCGTCTCGCAGGCCGCGCTGACGCGCGGGCACTTCAGTGCGACTCAGTGGTTCGGGCGGGCATTTTTTAATGGTGACGTCGGCAACGGCAGACGCGATGATGATAGTAGCGATGGTAGTTTCGATGACGGCGCCGGTGCTGATCACGCCAGTGGCAATGATGGTGTCCACGTGTCGATGGTGAAGGTTTTGCAAAGGATTTCGACATGCACGCGCGGCCGACGCGCGCGAGTGGCCCGCAAAGTATTGGACAGGGGTCATGCCCCCCGAGCACGGGCGAACGGGCGTTCGAATGATTCGGACATGCCCGCGCGAGAGGCCCGTTTGGTCGAACTGGATGAAGATATTGGAAGAACCGATGGCTTTCTCTTACGACTTACCAGAAGCGCGCAGTTCTGGTGTGAGGAAACAGGATGCGAAGCAATTGGCGTTTGTTTCAGATGTCTTCGGTGCACTCGATCTTGAAATCCTTGCGAGACCTGGGGTTTTTGAGAGGTTGTTGGTGTGCGCGCGGCGACGCGCGCGTGGGGACTTTGTCAACCTCTGTTGCAAAGGGCTCTGGAAAATGGGTGGCTTTTGATGTACGAATGCTCGCTGGGGGAAGGGTCGGACCCAGCATGGCTGGGATGGTGTGATGTAATTTTACTAAAATTACACGCGCGAGGCCGGCGTGAGAATTCTGGAAGGAGTGGTAGATCCGACGTCTTGTTTTAGAAACGAGAACAGATGTGAAATCTACGCGGTGCGATACATATATATATACATATATATATATAGATGTATGTGATGCAATGTCTGTGGTGCACTATATGCGGTGCAGTACATGTTGTGCAAGATATGTGGTGTCATCTACGTGGTGGAATCTATGTGAGGCAATACCAACGGTACAATGTATTTGGTGCAATGTATGCGGTGCAGTCTATGACTATGCCGTGCAGCCTATGTGGTGCGATCTACGCGAGGCGGCAACGAACGGCGACGACGAGGCCACGACTGCGAGCACGGAGCAGATCGACAATCCGGCCCAGACGACGGGGGGCGACGAGGCGGCGACGGGGCGGCGACGGCGAGCACGGAGCCGCCAGACCGACCATCGGGCAACGACTACGGGCGGCGACGAGACCGCGACGAGGCGGCCACGGGGCGGCGACGGCGACGACACAGCCGCCAGACCGGCCCGCAGGCTTCTGACGACGGGCGGCCACGAGGCGGCGACGGCGACGACATGGCCGCCAAACTGGGCCGCTAAGCGCCGCGTTCCACAGATAAGGACCCCCGGTGCCAGAACATGACGTCGGAGGTCTGGGCTCCGGCCGGAGTGGGGGCGCCCGCCAGGCCGCGGGCCTCCCCGGAGCTCTCCAGGGGTGCGTTCTGACGAGGACGTCCAGGGGCGAATGCGGCCGAGAAGACGACCCAGACCTCCAGCGCACTGTTGAAACATCCAGTGCGAAGGTTTTGCTCGTTGACTTCGCTCTCTGGGTCAGGAGCGGCGAGAGGTTCTGGTTCAAGAAGGGGGAGATCGATGGCTGTTGGGGCGTTTCAGGTCGAGGCTGGGGCGTCTGAGGTCGGGCTTGGAGGGCCTCGGGTCCAAAGAAAACATCCTTGAATGGCAACCTTCGGCTGGGGGCCATCGCCGGGCCCCAGGACCGTCAAAGGAGTGCGAAACCGGCCCTGACGAAAAGGTCGGGACTTTCAGGGGTTCCGCATTTTGAAATACACCGGATCATTGGGGAGGGAAGGGTATAGCGATATCGGTAATTATATGTTCCTCTCCTCCTCCTCCTCCTCCTCCTCCTCCTCCTCCTCCTCCTCCTCCTTCGTCGCAGTCCTCCTCCTGCTCCTCGAAGGCTTCAAGGCTCCTCTGGAGGGAACAATCATGGCATAAACGTGCACTTCTGACATTCCGCACCTATTTCTCTTTTCTCAGATCGGCGCTGGGCCCCTCCCAGGCGGCGCTTCTGGCGCCACCCCGAGCGCGTGGAGGGGGTCCAAGGCGGCCGATCCAAACAATCCCCGCGGAGCTCCAACACTTTATGCCCATGCAGCTATTTCATGTGCTTCTATCTTCTTCTGGGCACGTGAGCCTGCCTTATTAATGGCACACCCCGAAGTCCTTGACGATCTGAGCGCGCCCCGGCCGTCTCGTGGCCATCCCCACCTTTTTCCTCCTCACTTCCCCTGCCTTCCGGCGCGCCACGCCGCTAGCCGACTGCTTGCTGGACCCATCACGAGCGGCGATCGTATCCGTATCCACGCCCTTGCGGTCTGGGTTCCGCAACGCGATCTCGCGGTACGCGATCGCACGCATACGCTCCGCGCAACGCCTCGTATTCGCGGCGTCGCGGCCCACAGGCCCGGCCCGCGAGGCCGCGAATACGGATACGCTTTGCGTCATCGAGCCCAGATCGCCGCCGATCAAAAACTGTGTTTCGATCCTCGGGAGTGTCTTTTACCATCGGCAGAGAAACCCACAACCCACAAGCAGCTGCCACATCCTTGTGGAAACGACGCGGTGCGATGGCCCCTCGCAGGAGCGCGTTGTTGTCCTACGAGTCACGACAGCGGCCGTTACCCGGAACGCTCCGCCCCTCCCCCGCCACACATGGCAACGCCACGGCGCGCGCCAGTGCCGCTTGGGAATTGCCAGGGACAGCCGGTGCCCCTACGGCGCTGGCGCGAATCGTGGCGTTAATTACCAGCCCCCCATCGCCTCCCCCCCACAGGTAGGGTGGGTGGGCAGCCGGGTTTTTTCACCCCCGCACTCTGGACCTCTTGCTGCCGTGCTCGCGCGCTGCACGGCGCGCGCGTGGGACACCGCAGCCCTATGGCCCAGATGAGGACCTAGAGTCCGAAACGCGTCGCCAGCTAAAAGTGGTTGAGCTCGGTAGTACAGCGCAGTTTTTAATGCATAGGATTTTCACAAAATAGGATTTTAATACATGACTAATGTATGCATAAATTTATGCATGATCTCATCATTGCTTATGTTGCTAAATCCCTGCATGTTTCATAACTGATCCGCACGCGGAGCATGTATTATAACCGGCGCTGTACACCAAGTGCGTCCCTGGAATGGATTTGATCGCCAGGGGATATATATATATATATATATATATATGTATATATACAGCGGGCCCCAGCGCCCGAAGCCAAGGGCACGGCCGACCCAGGCCCCGGACGGCGTGCCGTTCTCACGATGGACCCATTCTCTATGAGACCGGTTTTTCATCCTGAGTCATCTTTCGATGGTCCCGAAGCCCGGCAGAGGCCCCACAGAGGCCGAAGGTAGCGAAACACCGTCCGTCGTGATTACTCTTGGCTCGAGGGGGTCTGGGCGCCGTGGACGATCAACTGCAGAGTCTTCGGTCCTCGGCAGGAGGGGCCTGGTCGGCTCTACACGCGAGGAGTGGCCCCTGGCAAGAGCCACCTTCGGTGCGCGGCCGAAGGAGTGCCCTTCGGGGACGCCGCCGGGCGCGCAGGCCGCTGCTGTCCCGTCGTATTCGGCGGCTTGGGGGGCCCCATTGGACACTCCGGCGAAAGGTCACCAGAGGCACTTGGGGGGGCAAGGGCCCCAAAGGTGGGGCTCATTGGACACTCCGGCGAAAGGCCACCAGAGGTACGTGGGCCCCATTGGACACTCCGGCGAAAGGTCACCAGATCGAGGCCCCATTGGACACTTGGGGGGCACCGGAGGTCACTCCGGCGAAAGGTCACTCCCTCTCCGTGGAGCCGCCCGCGGGAGAGGAGGCGCCCGCCGGCCCGGCGGGGGCCTCCCAGGTGGCCCCGAGGCTCTCGGCCTCCATGGCGAGGAGCAGCGGCTCCTGCAGCACGAGGCCTCGGTCGTCGGTGGCCGCCGTCGGTCGCCATCGGTCGCAGGTCGTCTGCCGTGCGTCGTCGCCGTCGCCGTCGCCGTCGTGCCCTGACATCCTCGCGTCGTGGGGGCCGAGCAGAAAATCACGACGGAAGCTCCTGGCGTCGCTGCCGTGTGCCGTCACGTCGCAGTGGTCGCAGGTCGTGTGCCGCCACGTCCTCGCGGTCGTCGGTCGTCGTAGGCCCACTGCTGTGGGCCGTCACGTCTCCGTCGCTGCCGTGCCCTGACCTCCTCGCGCGAGGAGGGCCGAGCAGCAACGACGGAAGCGGTTGGCCGATCGTAGGCCTCCAAGGGGCCCCTGGCCGGGCCAGAAGGCCCGCCAAGCAGAACGGCCCAGGCGGGAGGCGGCTGGGGGGGCAGAACTGGGTGGGGCCCGGGAAAATCGGCCCAGGAAGGGATAGGACGGGGGATGTGGCCAAGTCCGCACAACATCGGTCCCCGGACCCCTCCTGGGGCTCAGCTGGGTGAGTGGTCCGTCCCGGATCCATTTCTGAGGGTACCTGGGCCTGGAAACAGCCCCTGGGTGCCAAACATGCCGATGAACCCGGCGCGACCCCACTGTGGGGATTACCTTTTGAAAATGAATCCAGTGCGAACTCGGCGCGCCCGCGCAATGAAAATCCACAATGAGCCTGGAGTGCCGGCGCCGCTTCGAGGCCGGAGGGAAGATGGAGGAATAGGATGATGCGATCGATTTCGCGCGCAGCATGGTCACAATTGTTTTGCAACGCTCCTGCCGATGAGGGCGCTATCAAGAAAAGGCAGCGGCAGCCAGCTGAGAACAGCTGAGCTGCATAGGGTTCATCTACACCAGCACTACGGCCACCCGAGGAACCTCCGAGGAACGGGCAACGTAACAATAGGAAGCACTGGGGGCAGGGGAGCCCGAGGAACCCGGGGACCCCGAGGAACCTCCGAGGAACGGGCAACGTAACAGTGGGAGGCACCGGGGGCGGGGAACACGAGGAACCCGAGGCACCACTGGGCAACGGGCAACGCAAGTATACGAGGCACCAACCTTTCGCCGAGGAGAAACCCCTGGGCAAGGCTAAACGGGGAAGAACCTGATTGAACCCAGCACCTCGAGCCTCGCCCCCCCCTTCCTGCTCGCCAGAGCCAGTGCTTGGCCAACTCGTGCCCCCCAGCCAGCTCCAAGGACTCAGGACGAGCGGCGGGTCCCTGGGGAGGGGGCCCGGGGCCCGGGCCTCTGGGGAGCGGCGCTGGGACAAATGCACGACGTCGGACGTTATGGGTCCCGTCAGCATCATCGACGCTGTCCCGAATAGTCGTCGCTCGTAGATTTTCGTCAGTCGTCGTCGCCATCGTCGTACTTCTCCTCCTCCTCCTCCTCCTTCTCCTCCTTCCTCCTCCTCCCTCCTCCTTCCTCCTCCTCAATCCTCCTTCCTCCTCCTCATCCTCCTTCTCCGCCCTCCTCCTCCTCTCCTGCGCCTCCAACTCCTACTCAGAGCCCGACCAGAAAAATAAGATCTGCTACGACATGCTACCACGAAAAGTTTGAAAGCCGTTGAAAGTATGTTTTTTTTGTTTGCAACGAGTGTAATGCTAAACTACCGGTCGTCCCCAATGTTGAACTTGCACGGGGCGTTTCGAGGACATGACCGCGCAGACGGCACCCAAACAAAACAGGCCCCACGCACAGATCGAGCCGCATCGAGGAGTGATGCACCCCTGCAGATCGCCTGGTCGAGGAGTGGTGAGTCGCCGCTCCCGCGGCAATGACCTCTGCGCTGCTCCCCGCTCGCACAGGCGCGATCCGCTACACAGCAACAGAAGAGGCTCACAAATCCTGGGTCCCAGAAAATGAAATCAAAAACGAACACCTTTCGGGAGGGCAACTTTTGCTTCCGCTAACTTCCACCAACCTTCTGCCGGCTTCCGCCGACGGAGGCGGCCTCGCTTTGCTTCCGCTGGCTTCCGCGATCCTTCCGCCGAGGAAGAGATGCCAACTACCTCGACACTTGAAGGGGAGGCCCTTTCTGGAGCCCCCCTGTTGCCCCCGGGGGCATCCCACAGAGCACCCTCTAGAGCCCCTCCAGGCTCCCCGCGGCGTCACACGGCATCCCAGGACCAACTGGCTCCCTCAGGGCCTGCCCACAGCCCTGCATTTGCGTCGTTCGCCATCGTCGTCGTCGTCGTCGTCGTCGTGGTCGTGGCCGTCGTCGTCGTCGTCGTCGTCGTGGTCGTGGTCGTCGTCGTCGTGGTCGGCGTCGTCGTCGTCGTCGTCGTCGTCGTTCGCCATCGTCGTCGTCGTGGTCGTCGTCGTCGTGGTCGTCGCCGTCGTCGTCGTCGTGGTCGTCGTGGTGGTCGTGGTCGTCGTCGTCGTCGTCGTCGTCGTCGTCGTCCGTCGTCGTCCGCCGTCGTCGTCGTCGGCGTCGTCGTCGTCATCGGCGTCGTCGTCGTCCGCCGTCGTCGTCGTCGGCGGCGTCGTCGTCGTCGTCACCGTCGTCGTCGTCATCCCTTCGGGGGCCCCGCCAGGCCCTCGGAGCTCGCTCCTCCCCCCTCCTTGACCGAATGCCTCGGGGCCCCTCCGGCGCAGAACTGCCGGCCGCCTCCAGGCTTCTGGGGGCCGCACGGCCCTGGGACTTGGGCCGTCCTCCGAGGATGCCTCCGCGTGCGACCTGGGCCCCACCTTTTGATGCCTCCGCCGCTCCTCGCAGTCGTCGTCCGTCTGCGCCCTTCCGGATCTTCGCCCGCTGCTGCCCCCCCCCCATCCCCCCCCATCCTCACCTCGGAAGCCCCAGAGCGGTCCGGTGAGCACACTGTCGGGCGAGCCAGTGGGGGCTCGGAGTGACCACGCGGTCTTGGGGCTTTTGGATCCTTCTTCCAGAGGGGCCTCGGGCGCCTCCGGGACCCCAGGGGCCCCAGCACAGTGCGCTGACTGACCGTGCGGTGGGGCCTTTCAGGATTTCGAGGTCACCGCACGTTCTGTCACCGCACCGAGTCGGGACCCCCCCCCTCGTATCACCCTGCTCCTCCTGCCCCTCGCCGCTCCCTCGCGCGAGAGCCAGCGCACGCGTGCCACGTGCACCGCGTGGCGCCCTGCCAGGCGGCAACAGACGAAATCCTCGAGGTGCAGGAACACCCGCGAGATGCCCGATCGAACGGGCGGAGGACCACTTCCGCCAGCTGGAGAGCACGGTCACGAGCTTTTGCGTCGGCGGCAATCCCGGCGACACGCCATGCACTAAGATCTGATCGCGTGTCGTGGGAAGGGAGGAGGAGGAGGAGGAGGAGGAGGAGGAGGAGGAGGAGGAGGAGGAGGAGGCCGAGGAGGAGGAGGAGGAGGAGGAGGAATGTCTGGGAACTGGGACGTGTTTAGCGTGGCGCGCCGAAGCGCAGTGGGCCAGAACAGGCGGCACGCGACACGCCGCCCAGGAGTTCCCGACCGCAGGCCCCGCCCCAACCTGTGACGTCGTGATCCTCTTGGAGCGTGGACCAATATGGAGGTCTCTACCCATTCACAAGGGCTCCCAACCTCGCGCTTCGCGCCGCGCGAAGCGCGAAGTGCGAATAACTTCGCGCTCTCGCGCCGCCTCCCAAGGGAGAAGAGGAGGCCGAGGAGGAGTCGGAGCCCAAGCGCGAAGCGCGAATCACTTCGCGCCCTCGAGGGCGCCCTTGCACTCACCAGCTTGTCGTCCTGCGCCGCTTCTGACAGTCCTGGGGCCCAGCGAGGCCCCTCGGATGCCAACATAGCAAACAAGAGCGCCCTCCGTGATCTCCGGCACTTGCCATGCCGCCGCCGACGCAGGGTCCGCCCGGGCACGGCCACGGACGTCGGCCGATGCAGTGTCCGAGCCGTGAACGGGCGAAGCAAGCCTTTGGAGGAGGAGGGGGGGGAGGAGGAGGAGGATGAGGATGAGGATGAGGATGAGGATGAGGAGGAGGAGGAGGAGGAGGAAGAGGGAGGAGGAGGAGGAGGAGGAGGAGCGACAGGATGAGGAGAAAGAGGAGGAGGAGGGAGAAGAGGAGGAGGAGCAGGAGGAGGAGGAGGACGACCAGTGTAAGTCCAAGAGTCATCAACGATGTTGGAATTTACCCTCCCTCCAAGCTCCCTCTTCACAGGTCCCTACAACGGTTCATTTCCATTGAGGGAACTGCCTCGCTGAAAGACAACCGTTTGAAGACCTTGAAGCATGCCAACACATTGTTCCCTGCACGGATCAACCTGACTGCTACGTCCTGACGATCTGCAATCGTGCCAGAATGCCATTTTTGGTGACTCCAACACCGCGAATCAACATAACGGCTCCCCCCGCATAATCCTGAATCCTTCCCAAACACCGTTTCTGCTACGTTGTTCATGGGAATCCGCAAAACTCTTGCACTTGTTTAAAAAGAATGTGCGCAGCGCTAAGGCGAGAACCACATCTTGAAAAGGAACCGCCTTCAATCCGTGAAACTCCTGCAAGTTTCTAAAGCGAATCAGCGCGGCGCTGAGGCGAGAACCCCAATTTGAAGACGGCCCGCCCTGAATCCGTCAAGCTCTTGCCAAACATTGAAAACGAATGTGAGTGGCGCTGAAAACGAAAACCATATGTTGAAAAACGACCCGCCCTCAATCCGTGAAACTCTTGCAAATGTAAAGAAGAATGTGCGCGGCGCTAAGGCGAAAACCGCATGTTGGAAAGGAACCGCCCTCAATCCGTGAAACTCCTGCAAGTTTCTGAAGCGAATGAGCGCGGCGCTGAGGCGAGAACCCCAATTCGAAGACGGCCCGCCCTGAATCCGTCAAGCTATTGCCAAACATTGAAAACGAATATGAGCGGCGCGAAAACGAAAACCACATGTTGAAAACGACCCGCCCTCAATCCGTGAAACTCTTGCAAATGTAAAAAACGAATGTGCGCGGCGCTATGGCGAGAGCCACATTTTGAAGACGGCCCACCCTCGATCCTTAAAACCTTTGCAGATTTTACAAAAAAATGAGCGCGGCGCTAAGGCGACAGCCACTTTTTGAAAACGACCCGGCCTCCATCTTTGAAGCTGTTGTAATTTTGTAAGCTTCAGAACCATGAATGGTAAAACGTCTCCGGCGAAACGCCCGGCCAGCCCTAAAAACTCGCCTCGGGGTGCGACAGGGAAAAGCTTTTGATAAGGAAAAGGAATGAAGGAGGCGGAGGAGGAGGAGGAGGAGGAGGAGGAGGAGGAGGAGGAGGAAGAGAAGGAGGAGGAGGAGGAGGAGGAGGAGGCCTTGTCAGGGCATGCCCCAGACGTCCCGCGGCGAGAGCCGCGCACGGGCCCCCAGAGATGGCGGGCGCAGCGCGGATGCGCACCCTGCGACCGGAGCGAGCCCCCGCGGGCCATCGGGAGCGCACGGCCTCCGTGCCGCGCGGAGGCCGGGCCGCAGGCCACCTCGCGCACTGCCCGAGGACGAGTGCGGGCCCCCAGGGGCCATGGGCGAGGCTCCACAGCACAGCTGTGCACGGCCCACATCGTTCTAGGCGTCCACTGGCCATCCATCCCTCCCACCACGGACCGAACGGCCTCCCACGTCCTCCAGAATTGATCTACCCCAGAAGTGTGTTTCCCTAACAATCTGCTCAAGAACGAAGGATGTTCAAGAGATCCTGTATAGTTTTCGAAGACTCGACGGACAAACATAAATTCTGGGGTGAATCGATTCTGTTGTCAATCCCCTTCTCGACAGGTGCTCCCCAACCATTCCACCCACCACTCTACGCGGAGGAGGAGGGGAGGAGGCTCAGGAGGAGAGGTGGATGAGGAGAATGAGGACGAGGACGAGGAGGAGGAGGAGGAGGAGGAGGAGGAGGAGCGACAGGATGGGGAGAAAGAAGAGGAGGAAGAGGAGGAGGTGGAGGAGGAGGAGGAGGGCCACGTGTCTTGCCCTCCTTCTGCATGGAGACCCCCAAGAAAGGCTCCGGGGACGAGGCCCCCCCACGCCGTTGTGCACAGGACCAGCGGCCGCCCTCCGAGCCGCTCTGAGAGGCCCCCCCCTCGCCGGAAGGGTTCACGGCGCGGCGGCGCTGCGAGTCGTGGCTCCGAAGGGCCACCTCACCGATGCCTCCCACATCCTCCAGGCACACGCTGCAACCAATCTCCCACCCCTGACCCCTGACCCCCTCCCTCCCCCAGCGAGGGGGGCCTCCCTCTCCCTGCCTCCGGAGGTCCCCGGAGTGGTATGCCAATCCCCGGAGGCCCAGAAGCCCAAAGCGGGCCAGCAACCATCACACACATCGGCGATCCTCCTCCATCCTCCTCCTCGCCCTCCTGCTCGAATCGCTACCCTTGCTCCTCGCGAGAGCGCGGCGCACCGAATCCTTGAGCGTCTCGACTACTGGCGCCGCAGCTGTACGCGCACCACAGCGACGAGGGCTTCCGATCCTCGCCTCTGCACAATGGCCTGCCAAGAAGAGCACACCCGGACCTGAGCTTGGCGCACACCATCCGCGACCCCTGCTCCTCCCTCCCTCCATTCCTCCCATCGCACCTGCAGGAGGGGGAGCGGGAGGTTCGGCGGTGGACAAACCTCCCTTTGGTAAACCTCCCCTCAGTGAAAACGGCCTGGGACCGAAACCGACGGACCTGGGCCCGCAAAAATGACCGCCGCGACGCCCTCTCGCGAACCGAAGACGGCCAATTCCTGAATCGACGCGTCCGGGCAGGAGGTCTGTCCACCTCCGACCAGTCCTCCCATCGCACCTGCAGTGGGCAGCCCACGGGGGGGCCGAGTGCCCGACCGAGCGCGCTGTCCCGCCCGACGCCGTCCAGCGCCCCCAGCGCCTCGGAGGGCGAGGCGGGCCAGCAGCGGACACGGGCGCAGAGCTCCCCGTCCGGGGAGGAGGACAGGGGGCGCGGATGGCGCCTCGCGGCGACCGCGGCGGCAACAGCTCGGACTACCGGGGCACGGGAGGGGCGAAGTGTGCTCTCAGCGCCTGCAACGCCCTCGTGAGCCACGTTCCAGGCCGCTAACAGTAGTCGGCGTGGCCTGAAGGAGGGAGGGGGAGGCGGAAGCTCAGGCAGCTGATGGGCCTGTGGGGCAGCTCGGGAGGCTTGGTTTGTCTCCAGGAGAGCTCGGTGATGCTAGCAGGCAATCACATCCAGCAAGTGCAGAGAACTCGCCTGCGGTAGGAGGAGGCGGAGGAGGAGGAGGAGGAGGAGGAGGAGGAGGAGGAGGAGGAGGAGGAGGAGGAGGAGAGAGAGAGGGGGGGGGACATCGTGGAGGATGCAGGATGGGGAGGAAGAGGCAGAGGCACGATGCGGCGTTGTCGAAGGCCAGGGGCTGCCTGCCAGGGTTTGAACTGGTTTCTGTCATCGGCTAGGGCCACCCCCCCCCGTCTCGAAACGCCCAATGCATACATCGCCCTCCCTTTCCTCCTGTCCATATTCCGAGAGAAAAAATGGTTGCTCACCCACGGTCCCACGATCTTGCGAACAACAACGATTCGTCCGCGCTCCCGAGGCCACGATCCCCCTTAATCAAACACTTGTCACGCTACCGAGGCTACGTGTTCGCATGGACCCGCGCCCACGAGCTTACAAGACGGAGGCAGGCAACCAATGCCGGCAAGATGTGCAAAGATGCCTGCAAGACGGCCAACACTGCCCCCCACACGGCCCAAGGTGCCCTCGATACAGCCCAGGAGGCCCCCAAGAGGGCCACAAGATGACACAGCAATATTCAGTAATTACGGACCGAAGCAATCAAAACCGCAGATGCCCAATAGATCATGGACGATTTGGGCGTCCTTACCTTTTCAATCTTCCTTCAGCTCCCGACGGCCCCACAGGCCTCCGAGACTGATCCGAGGCGGCCCAAAGAGGGCCCCAACATCGCCAAACTATCCTGCCCCAAGTCGGCCCAAGAGTGCGCCCAGAGGGACCCGTTCCGGCCCGAGAGATCCCTTCGACGGCCCGAGACGGCCCCACCGCGGCCCCAAACCACCCCCGGGCGGCCAAGAGGGCCCCCACTGCGGTGCTGGAGAGCCCCAGTGCGGCCCAAGAGGGCTCCGGGATGGCCCAGGGGACCCCCCCCCAGACTGGCCCGCAGGAGCCCAGGGGAGGACAGCCAGACAGAGGAAGACGATGCAGACGAGAAGCGAACCCCCGACGCGACGCGGAAGAGTGCGCCAAACGTCACCGTCCTCCCAAACCTCGGGGCACGACGTGCCACGCGTTCATTACGGTGGCCTCCCATGCGCCCCCCAAGAAGCCGCCATTCGAGGCGCTGGGCTGGCACACCGGCGGGACTTGCCGCAGGCAGCTCGATAGAAACTCCCAGATGCTTGGGATTGCAGAAGCCGTAAGTCGGGCGTGTCCCCCTACAGGCGGACCTTCGACGACGAATCAAAAGTAGCCAAACAATAATCAGAAAATTAGGGAAATCCTCAAACACCGTCCCCAGACTATGTTTGGACTGTTTTTGAAGATTCCTCCTGTAGAGGGACAGGCCCGACTGAACAGAAGCCTCCAGATGCCTCGTTGGGACCTCGGGGGACCTCCATGCAGACCTCCAGACAGTCCTTCCCTTAGTGGGCACTGGAAACGACAGGGCCGTTTTTGTTACTGGTTCCGTTTTGCCGTTTTTTTGCCGGTTCCGACGCCGTTTTTTTACCGGTTCCGTCGCCGTTGTTTGACCGGTTCCGGCTCCAGCTCCAATCCTGGAGCCGTTCTTTTGCCGTTTCCGGTCGCCGTTTTTTCGCCGTTTCCACTTCCGAGGGACATTTTTGGGGGAAACGGTGAAAAAACGGCCCTGCCGTTTCCGGGGCCCACAAAGGTCCTCCCCCTCTTCTCCTCGCATCCAGGCGTCGCACCCAAGACACTACGGGCCTCGTCGCCCCGCGTCGGGCCCGAAAGCGCCCTCCCCGGTCGGTGCACCTCGAAGGCTGCCACGGAGCGCTGCGCACGGAAGCTCTCGCGCGGTGATTGCATCGCGGCATCGTGACTTTGCCTCCCCCCTATCAGGGGGGCGTAAGACCCGGGTACAGGGGACTCGGAGATCCCCGACGAGGTCGTCAAAAAAATGACGAGGCCGAGCCTGCATTTTGAAGAGGCCTCCCGCTGCAGACATCCCACGAAACTCCTGCTCGTCAAAATCCGAGTCGCGGTCGTCAAAAAACGATGGCGAACCCGAGTCCTGGCAAACCTGGGTCTTACGCCCCCCCGACCCTACCCCGTCGCGACCTGTGCCTCCACCTTCGAGTACTTTTTCAGATTCGCGGCGATGGCGATCGTTATGGGGAGGACTGGCGGGGGGACGGGGGGGGGGGGCATACGGCCCAAC